CTTCCTTCCTTCCTCCCTTCCTTCCTTTCATTCTTTCTTTCCTTCCTTCCTTTCATTCTTTCATTCTTTCCTTCCTTCCTTCCTTCCTCCCTTCCTTCCTTTCATTCTTTCTTTCCTTCCTTCCTTTCATTCTTTCATTATTTCCTTCCTTCCTTCCTTCCTCCCTTCCTTCCTTTCATGCTTTCTTTCCTTCCTTCCTTTCATTCTTTCATTCTTTCCTTCCTTCCTTCCTTCCTCCCTTCCTTCCTTTCATTCTTTCTTTCCTTCCTTCCTTTCATTCTTTCATTCTTTCCTTCCTTCCTTCCTTCCTCCCTTCCTTCCTTTCATTCTTTCTTTCCTTCCTTCCTTTCATTCTTTCATTCTTTCCTTCCTCCCTTCCTTCCTCCCTTCCTTCCTCCCTTCCTTCCTTTCTTCCTTCCTTTTCTTTCATTCATTCACTCACTCACTCACTCACTCACTCATAGAACTTTAAAGCTGTCTGGACTTCAACTCCCAGAATTCCCCAGCCAACTGTAGGGAATTCTGGGAGTTGAAGTCCACAGAGACTTAAAGTGGCCGAGGTTGAGGAGAAAATGGCCTCCCCCTTAAGCGCATAGAAAACAGCTGTTCTACAAACTTGAATGGGCAACATATGCAATTCAGGGAGCCCTCGACTTACAACCGCTCATGTAGTGACGGTTCGAAGCCACCAGGTCACTGCAAAGGAGACAACCGTGTTTCATGTGACCGTAGCAGCGCCCACAAGGTCAGACGCTTTAGCCCCTGACTCATATTCACGACGGCTGCAGTGTCCTGAGGGCCATGCTTGTGGCAATCAGAGTCCGCGGGGGAGCCAGTTTCACTTAACAACCATTCTGCTGTCTGAACCGCCGCAATGATTCGCTTACCAACCGTGGCAGGAAAGATCGCGGAAACGGGGGCAAAGTTCCCTTCACCAATATCTCCCTTTAGCAACATAAATTTGGGGCTGGGTTGTGGCCGTAAGTTGAGGACCCCTGGTGTATGTTTGTAGTGCATCGAGATTTCCCTGCTTCTGATTCCTCCTGCACCCGGGCAGAGCCCACATCCCGCCTGCCCCTTTGCCCCCACGGTTCTCGTTTCCGCGATGCCCACCCTGCCTCTCCGGAGCCTCACCGCTTTCCTTCTCTGCCTCCCTCCGAAGGGCTCCTCAAGGCCTTGGTCCTGAAGCTCTACGGCTCGGACGAGGACATGACAGCCCGACGGGCAGCTCCCTCCCCGGGGGCCAAGTGTGTGCGGCAGAATCGCGACGGGACGTGCCAGGGTGAGTCGTGGGGGATGTGGGGGGGAAGTGCCCAGGACACGCCACTCCCACTGACAGGGGGAGCCCCTTGGATCTATAGAAACAGAGGACAAAACCCCCACCGCCTTCGAGCGCTGATGGCGTTCCCTAGCTGGCTCATGAAACGCCTGCTAGAAAACAGCCGAGCTCAGAGAGCACCCAGGGCCTCTCAGTTGAGCCCCGAATGACAGAAGTTCTCTTCCCTCGGCATTTATCTTGGGCACATCACTCAGACGGCCCAGCTGCACGGAGGGAGGGATGATAGACAGACAGACAGACAGACAGACAGACAAACAATAGATTGAAGATAGATAATAGATGGATAATATAGATTGAAGATTGAACGAGAGAGAGAGAAGAGATGGATGGATGGATGGATGGATGGATGGATGGATGGATGGATAGATAGATAGATAGATAGATAGATAGATAGATAGATAG